GCATTACTTTTCATGTGTCTGTGTTCATGGCAGCATTCTTTGTGTTACATTAACACAATGTGACACACTGCATTTGTTTGTTTTGGTTTGGCGTTATTATTTCTCCCACCTCATTCGTAAACAATTCGGTTCTCGTCTTCTCTTTCCATCCGTCAGACATTATCTTCGCATCGATCGAAAGATCAATTTATTTTGTTGTTTTAATAATAAAAATGGAAACAAACATCGCACGGAAATGTGCCAAACATTACCAACAAATGAGTAAGTAAGGGAGGATGGAGTGATAATGTGACCCCGCCGACAATTGGAACGAATTTCACCAATTACAAGACCGCTTGTTTTCAGCCCAACTAAAGACCATGTTAAAGCCCAGGAACATGAACTCAGTCGGTATACAAATTAAATGGATAGACTTAAACACGAAACGAAAGAACTGGAGAAATTTGTTAATGGTGAAGAGAAGCGATTAAATTACATTAACATAAACATCGAACGACTGCGTAAAGAATGCGAAGAGATGGACCAACAACGTATTGTCCAAAGGAAGCAGGAATTGACCAAAAAGGAATTGTATGACAAATATGTGAAAAATATTTTCCTTTCAATAATAATTTGTGATTTAATTACAGTATTCGTCGCATTAAAGAGACCACACAAACGTATTTCCATGAGGATTCATTGCCCTATAGATTTCAAGGTGTTTACCTAGAGCGTACCGAAACATCATGCGAATGGAAACCCTTTGTTGTTGATGTCAAAAATGGTTACATTTTCCCGAAGACCAATGGCAACAAGAAAATCAGGAAAATAAAGAAAACAGTGACAATAACAGAATGGATTGTTATAAAAACGCCAAACTTTGAAAGTAGTTTTGTAAAGTATTTTTTTAATTATTCTTTATTATATATTAAGTTAGATTATGTTTATAGATATAATAGTTGTCGTTTAGTGGTTATTTTTAGTAGCTACAGAGACGTCTATGTAAATATGTTTTTTTTAATTTCTCTAAGGGAATTCGTATTGCAATTCTATTGGTACATTAAAGGAATGTCGAAAACCTTAAAATGTTATTGAGACACCAAAAAATATTGTAAATAAATTGTAGATTATTAGTAAGGAACAAAATAATGACTTGTTTTTATTCTATACAATTATTTGATAGATAGACAATATTGTAGACCCCGCCGTTTTCCCACAGTGGGACCTAACCTATTTTCCCTATATATGGAATTTAAGTCAGGCCACTGTGGGTCTACCTTTACCCTTTGCATTTTAAAATGGCCAAATTTTGGAAGTTGTGGTTGACTTGGGAATAAAAGTGAAAAACATGAAGTTCTAAGCCTCCAAAATTTGGCACAGTGGGCCAATAGCAAAAAATACCCTTTGTATTTTAAAATGGCCAAATTTTGGAAGTTGTGGTTGACTTGGGAATAAAAGTGAAACATGTTCTAAGAGCTCTTGCGATGGCCTTTCAAGTGGCATCAACCCCATAGACCACCGCCTCCAAAATTTGGCACAGTGGGCCAATAGCAAAAAATACTCTTTGTATTTTAAAATGGCCAAATTTTGGGAGTTGTGGTTGACTTGGGAATAAAAGTGAAACATGTTCTAAGAGCTCTCTCGATGGCCTTTCAAATGGCATCAACCCCATAGACCACCGCCTCCAAAATTTGGCACAGTGGGCCAATAGCAAAAAATACCCTTTGTATTTTAAAATGGCCAAATTTTGGAAGTTGTGGTTGACTTGGGAATAAAAGTGAAACATGTTCTAAGAGCTCTTTCGATGGCCTTTGAAGTGGCATCAACCCCATAGACCACCGCCTCCAAAATTTGGCACAGTGGGCCAATAGCAAAAAATACCCTTTGTATTTTAAAATGGCCAAATTTTGGAAGTTGTGGTTGACTTGGGAATAAAAGTGAAACATGTTCTAAGAGCTCTTGCGATGGCCTTTCAAGTGGCATCAACCCCAACCACCGCCTCCAAAATTTGGCACAGTGGGCCAATAGCAAAAAATACTCTTTGTATTTTAAAATGGCCAAATTTTGGGAGTTGTGGTTGACTTGGGAATAAAAGTGAAACATGTTCTAAGAGCTCTCTCGATGGCCTTTCAAATGGCATCAACCCCATAGACCACCGCCTCCAAAATTTGGCACAGTGGGCCAATAGCAAAAAATACTCTTTGTATTTTAAAATGGCCAAATTTTGGGAGTTGTGGTTGACTTGGGAATAAAAGTGAAACATGTTCTAAGAGCTCTCTCGATGGCCTTTCAAATGGCATCAACCCCATAGACCACCGCCTCCAAAATTTGGCACAGTGGGCCAATAGCAAAAAATACCCTTTGTATTTTAAAATGGCCGAATTTTGGAAGTTGTGGTTGACTTGGGAATAAAAGTGAAACATGTTCTAAGAGCTCTTGCGATGGCCTTTCAAGTGGCATCAACCCCATAGACCACCGCCTCCAAAATTTGGCACAGTGGGCCAATAGCAAAAAATACTCTTTGTATTTTAAAATGGCCAAATTTTGGGAGTTGTGGTTGACTTGGGAATAAAAGTGAAACATGTTCTAAGAGCTCTCTCGATGGCCTTTCAAGTGGCATCAACCCCATAGACCACCGCCTCAAAAATTTGGCACAGTGGGCCAATAGCAAAAAATACCCTTTGTATTTTAAAATGGCCAAATTTTGGGAGTTGTGGTTGACTTGGGAATAAAAGTGAAACATATTCTAAGAGCTCTTTCGATGACCTTTCAAGTGGCATCAACCCCATAGACCACCGCCTCCAAAATTTGGCACAGTGGGCCAATAGCAAAAAATACCCTTTGTATTTTAAAATGGCCAAATTTTGGAAGTTGTGGTTGACTTGGGAATAAAAGTGAAACATATTCTAAGAGCTCTTTCGATGACCTTTGAAGTGGCATCAACCCCATAGACCACCGCCTCCAAAATTTGGCACAGTGGGCCAATAGCAAAAAATACTCTTTGTATTTTAAAATGGCCAAATTTTGGGAGTTGTGGTTGACTTGGGAATAAAAGTGAAACATGTTCTAAGAGCTCTTGCGATGGCCTTTCAAATGGCATCAACCCCATAGACCACCGCCTCCAAAATTTGGCACAGTGGGCCAATAGCAAAAAATACCCTTTGTATTTTAAAATGGCCAAATTTTGGAAGTTGTGGTTGACTTGGGAATAAAAGTGAAACATGTTCTAAGAGCTCTTGCGATGGCCTTTCAAGTGGCATCAACCCCATAGACCACCGCCTCCAAAATTTGGCACAGTGGGCCAATAGCAAAAAATACTCTTTGTATTTTAAAATGGCCAAATTTTGGGAGTTGTGGTTGACTTGGGAATAAAAGTGAAACATATTCTAAGAGCTCTTTCGATGACCTTTGAAGTGGCATCAACCCCATAGACCACCGCCTCCAAAATTTGGCACAGTGGGCCAATAGCAAAAAATACACTTTGTATTTTAAAATGGCCAAATTTTGGGAGTTGTGGTTGACTTGGGAATAAAAGTGAAACATGTTCTAAGAGCTCTCTCGATGGCCTTTCAAATGGCATCAACCCCATAGACCACCGCCTCCAAAATTTGGCACAGTGGGCCAATGGCAAAATATACTCTTTGTATTTTAAAATGGCCTAATTTTGGGAGTTGTGGTTGACTTGGGAATAAAAGTGAAACATTTTCTAAGAGCTTTTTCGATGGCCTTACGAATGATATCAACCCTAGAGACCACCGCCTCCAAAATTTCGCACAGTGGGCCAATACCAATTTTCTTGCCCTTGAAGCAAATAGTTTAATTTATTAATATTAATATTTGTGTGCAAATATTCATTAGTATACATTTTAGTTTTATAATATTATATTTATATATGTTAATAGTAGTATATATGTGTTCTAAAATCGAATTTGCATTCACAGCAATCTGTTATACTATATAACAAAACTGTTATATCGCACACAACCACCCAAACTGGTGTGTGCCTTCGCTACTCAAATTCGAATTTATCTTCACGCACATAAGCTTACTCTTCCTAGTGAACTTTACCAGTTCTGTCTTTGTTGGATTTACACCAAGGCCGTTCGCCTTGGCCCAACGTGACAGCGTCAGTAAGCCTCTTTACATAAGCTCCAAGATTGTTGATGGAAATTTTCCGAAAATCAATATCACCACGTTGTCCGCATAAGCTACAACTTTGATACCTTTCCCGTCCTATTCTATCAGTATGTTATTAATTACCCATAGACATAGCAACGGCGAGAGCACCCCTCCCTGAGGTGTACCTGTAGTTACCGTTTTCCTAACACTTGAATTTATAATTATGCTGTTTAGCATTTTATCTCAAATTCGAATTTATCTTCACGGGGACTTCCCCCATACTCGGTTTCAAAAACTTTAATTTTGTATTTCGATTTAATTCGAACCTACACTCGAATGTTCCTATAAATTTTCGAGTGAAAATCTCAACAATTTTTGAAGATATTGCCGATTTATTGTGTTAGCATCAAGTGACAGCAAGAGGGCTTCTCAAACTTTAAACGCGTTTTTCTCCAAACAGTGTTTTTGCGAATGGCGGGCACAATAACTCAAAAACTAATAATCCAATCGATTTCAAATTTTGGGACGTTTCTCTGTGAGTGTATAGTTATCGTATAAACTAGGATAACGCCAATCGGTTCAAAGTTCCGTCATTTTGTTAATTGTTGTGCCAATAATACTAGTTTATACGAGTTTTTTTTTCAAAGAATATTTTTAGGGACTAAAATAATGTCAGATTTTTTTTAAATAATATTTTTAAGGACTAAAATAATGTGAGGATTCTTTCAAAGAGCTTTTTTATGGACTAAAAATGTGAGGATTTGTTCAAATAATATTTCTAAAAAAATAATAAATTAAAAAATTAAAAAAAAGTCCCCCACATTGACTAATTTTAACGATATAATGTTTAACGATTTTCCTTCTTCTTCTGCGATTTGCTAAATATAATAATTGCACATAACTCACCCCATATCTCTTGTCACCGAACAGCCAGATAGAAATAAATGTTTTACATCCCAGGTTGGTAGACGTATTAGACTTTCATGGGTTAAACGGGCACAGCCACGTACATCTAATAGCTTCAATTTCGATGACGATTTCAATATACGTTGTATATGTTCATCACCAATGACTCGTGATTCATCCATAACGGCTACGGAAAGTTCTTCGAGTTCGGGAAAACCAGGAGAATCCATCTATTAAAATTAAAAAAAAAATCAAATTCAAATTAAAAAATTAATTTAGAAGAAGAACCGATCTACTTACCATTTCTTGTAGGGATGCTGTACTCAGTGTTATATGCGAATTGGTAATGCGTAAAACTTTCAGTTTTGGACAGCCTTGCTGTAATTTCTCAACATGTAATATACCATGAGATGTGGCTTGTGTTGTAACATTGGATAGATCCAATAGAACTAAATTTGGACAATGTGTCTGAGAGGAAGAACAAATAAAAAATATTCGATATTTAATATGAGGATATATTGTTAGATTGGGGAATATTCTTACCGATAAAACATTGACTAATTGCGGTATACCAGCTAAACGATTGTGCGCCAAATAAAGATGTGTCAGTTTGTCACCCATAACTTGCATTGCATTGCACAATGATTGCACACCCACAGCACTTTTACTAGCATTCATTTCCACCTAAGGGGAAAAATAAAATTAAATTTATTTAAAAATATATAAAAAATTAATTAAATTTCTAAAATAGAAGAAGCAAGAAAGGAACATAGAGAAAGCCGTGGATTTTTTTAAAGAATATTTTTAGGGTCTTAAATTAGGCGTGGATTTTTTAAAAGAATATTTTAGAGTCATAAATAAGGCGTGGATTTTAGGGTCTTAAATTAGGCGTGGATTTCTTAAAAGAATATTTTTAGAGTCATAAATAAGGCGTGGATTTTAGGGTCTTAAATTAGGCGTGGATTTTTTAAAAGAATATTTTTAGGGTCTTAAATTAGGCGTGGATTTTAGGGTCTTAAATTAGGCGTGGATTTTTTAAAAGAATATTTTTAGAGTCATAAATAAGGCGTGGATTTTAGGGTCTTAAATTAGGCGTGGATTTTTTAAAAGAATATTTTTAGAGTCATAAATAAGGCGTGGATTTTAGGTTCTTAAATTAGGCGTGGATTTTTTAAAAGAATATTTTTAGAGTCATAAGTAAGGCGTGGATTTTAGGTTCTTAAATTAGGCGTGGATTTTTTAAAACAATATTTTTAGAGTCATAAATAAGGCGTGGATTTTAGGTTCTTAAATTATTTTTTAAACTATTAAATAAGGCGTGGATTTTTTAAAGGAATATTTTTAGGCTATTAAATAAGGCATGGATTTTTTAAAGAAATATTTTTATGCTATTATATTTTCAGGGTCTTAAATAAGGCGTGGATTTTTTAAAGAAATATTTTAGACTATTTAATAAGGCTTGAATTTTTTAAAGGAATATTTTTAGGCTATTAAATAAGGCATGGATTTTTTAAAGGAATATTATTAGGATTTTTTGACTTTTAAAACGCCACTTGTGTCTCACATCTTCATATATAACTTCGTTACAGTACTTACATTCACAGAACTTAAGTCTAGACGTTCGAGTTTTTTCATATTTTCAACTAAATATGCCAAATGATCACATGAGAAACCTTTCCAACCCGATAGGGTTATACTTGTTAAATTCGGTGCACCATCAGCTAATTTCATTAGAAAACAATTAATGTCTGTGATTTTGAAGTTTGCTGTAAGAAGAAAATACAAAAATACATATTTTATTTTATAATAAAAAACAAACACAATAGCAAATATTTTGTTTAATACTTACAAACATTCAATTCTGTGCAACATGTACAGCGATTATCGACAAACCATTTTAATTTCAGCTCCGTGCGATATTTCTCTTTAATCCATGTGGTGAGATCTAGCGAACGCCACAAGGTGGGTGATAAAGAGACACGGCGCCACAGGGAACAGACACGACCCAAACGAAATAAGGTCGGTAGGCAACCTTCCTTTTCGACGACATTTTGGAAAATCTACAAAAAGAAATGAAAACAGAAATTAACAAAAAATATTTAAATATATATTTTGAATTATTTACCTTAAAAAGCACTGGTTCGGGTAAATCTCTACCCCATATACTTTGCTCCACAATGGGACGTTTGTGTTCATCACCATCATTGCCAGCTTGCCCTGCATTAGAGCCGCCCGTTCCTGTGGCCGATTGTCGCTTGGAACTACGTTCCTTTTTCCGTTTAGGTTCATAATCCAATTCATCGGCTTCATCATTGCTGTCGTTGTTCAGTTTTATACGTTGTTTTGGATTCCTTGAACTTTTACGACTTCTCCCCGATGTTGTGGCTGATTTAACGGCTGCTGTGGCCGCTGCTGTAGCTGTGACGGCACTTAATGAACTATCGGATTTTTTAATACATAACTTAATACCCGTTTTATTTTCACTTATCTGAAAGAATATAGAAAAAATATATATCAAATTTAAAAAATTGTTAATTAGTTTCTTATGGTTGTATTTTTAGGAACTTCAATAAGACGTGGATTTTTTAAAAGGATATTTTTAGGGACTTAAATAAGGCCTGGATTTTTGAAAAAATATTTTTAGGGACTTAAATAAGGCGTTGATTTTTTAAATGAATATTTTATTGAACTAAAAAAATATAATTTTTTATCTTATACACCTTTTACAGTACCTATAGATACACCATAAATTTTGAGGGTCTTCCAGAAAATTAAGACATTTATGGGCCTTTTGAAGACGATAAGTATTTACTAGATAGAATATCCTCTAGTATCCTTTTGTGTATAGAAAAAAACTTCTCAATTCATTTCTTGTAGTTGTCATCTATACGCACAATAAATTATAGAGGTTTTCTATACCCAGAAGACCTTCTGGACATAAACCTTTTGGAGAGACGTTCTATATACAAGCAAAATACCCTTTAGAGATCCTAATTTACCTTTCTAAAGATCCTTTTCACACAGTTCACCTTCTGGAAGTATTATTTACTCAGAAAATCGTTCATTGATTCTCTACACTTAAACGATCTTCTAATGATCATAGGTATACTGAAGGCCTTGTAGCGGTGCGCTATACGCACAAGAACTTATAGAGGTTTTATATACGCAGAAGACATTCTGGACATATACCTTTTGGAGATCTTTCTTCTAGAGGTGTACCGACGTTCTTCTAGCAAAATACCCTTTAGAGATCTTAATTTCGCTCTTAGAATTCCGATATAGACGGAAAGGCTCTTAGAGGTTCTCTTGTGGATGATGTGTGTATGGTATGGGATGATGGAGTTAATGGGAAGGGTTCTGTAGTGGTAAAATGTTAGGTTGAGAGCTGCAAAAAAACTCGCCACTTCTACTGGTCTCAGCCACAGATCAATTGACGAAAATCCGTGGGCTGAACTGTACATGGAAATAAAGGACATGTGTATTGCGAGACAAATGTCTTCGATCCCGGCGATTTTCGTTTGATACACATTTTGGATGACTGATCAACTTGACCGAAGTTGTGCTAAGATAGTTTCTCAGCTTCGGCCACCGTTGGAGATTGACAGTTAAGGACACGATTTAATTCATGCTCATTGACAGCTTGCTGGACTGTCTGAGTGTGAACAGTTCTCAGCGATGCGGACAATCGGTCGATGTCAGATGGAATGACTTCCTGGATGTCGTTGCTGTATCGCTTGATGTCCTTCCGGATATGTAGAGGGAATGGATCCTATACAATTATATGGTGGTTGGGACGCGTGGGCAGATGGCATGCCAGCAGGAACTGTCTGGTGAGTAACACATTATGTTGCCGCATTGGCAGAAGAACAGCATGTTGTGGCCTCCTATTAGCAGAAGGCCTTCTAGAGGTCTTCTGTATACAGAAAACACCTACAAAAATTGGTCTATTTACAGAAGATCATATAGTCTATTTAAAGAAGATCATTAAAAAAATACCTAGACGTCTTCCCTACCCTAACCTAAATGACCTTCTAGAGGTATTTTACATTAAGAAGACCTCTCAGAGAACAAACCCTACAAAAATACTTTTAGACCATATAAAGGTTTTTAATATAAGAAATACCTCCAGAGGTATGCCCAGAACTATTTTCTGAGGTCTTCTACACATGGAAGACATTTTAAATGTTTTTAAATGTAAATACACACGCGAACTCTTTGAAGCTCTTCACAGTCACAGAAGAACTCTTATTGCCCCTTTTTACCAAGAGGATCTTCTAGAGGATTGAGAAGAGGTATCCTATATAAAGGAAGGACAAGAAGCTAACAATGTGATGTAAATTAAAGCAGGTTAAATAGTTAAAAAGAAGCTTAGAGACGTTTCCAAAACTGTTCTACACTCGAGGACGACCTCAGATTTGATATTACAGGATTTGATGACTTTAAGAGCCGCCTGACTATACACAAAGATAGTCACCGGTTTAACAGACTTTTTATCAATTCCGCTGTTTTCCAACTAGCAAAGATTTCAGCTTGGAAAAACACTACAGTTGCTATCCAGCTTATAGGTAAGCTCAAGACCTAGCCTTTTACAGTAGACGCCAGCCCCTGTACCTTCTTCCATCTTGGATTCGTCTATATAAAAAGCCAGACCGTTCAGAGGAGAGTTGCGTCTCTACTAGGGATAACGACATCTACATTG